AAATAGACAGTGAAATGCGAAGACCAGAAATTATTAACCTTATACGCATCCATTGTTATGATGACAAATCAAAGCAAATACGTTCTCAGAATGAGTTTGGCTTGCAGCCACAACAATTGAATATAATAAAACCCTTCATCAAATCATAGGGCATTCGCAAACAGCAGTGAACGGTGTACATATCCTACTATATCACGAAAATGTGATAACGAGTGACTATTGATGCAAAATATGAGAAGAGCGTATCCTGTCCCATTGGTGCACCCGTCATAAACACGCGCAAAGGCAAGTCAAGAGTTCACCTGAACATATGAGTGAGTGAGTTTAGTTTTACGCCGCTTTTAGTAATATTCCAGCAATATCACAGCGGGGACACCAGAAATGGGCTTCACACATTGTACCCATGTGGGGAATCGAACCCGGACTTTCGGCGTGAGGAGCGAACGCTCTAACCACTAGGCTACACCACCGCTCTACCTGAACACATGACCATATGATGCAAATGTTAAAAGGGAATAATATTCATATCATTTGGTCACTGATGTAACAACTGATGTTTCCTAATGTCCGGCCTTTACCTTTTGTCATTGAATGTTGTCACCCAGATGTTCGTGATTGTATTTTCATAATATTCAATCTAAGGAAGCTGACTTCTTATGTAAATAAGGAAATATCAATTTTACTCTCTTGATATACATACACCTCCAGCCGTGAAGGTTCGGGTTAGAATGTACCTTCAGTAACCCATGCTTGTGGTAAGAGGCGACTAACGGGATCGGGTGGTCAGGCTCGCTGACTTGGTTGACACATGTCATCGGTTCCCAAGTGCGCAGATCGATGCTCATGCTTTTGATCAATGGATTGTGTGGTCCAGACTCGATTATTTACAGACCGCCGCCATATAGCTGGAATATTGCTGAGTGCGGCGTAAAACTAAACTCACTCACTCACTCTCTACATACACCTCCAGTGACATGCGACGAAATATTGTATAACGCCCATACACTTATCAATGCAAAACTGGATCATATGGTATTACGTCCTTGTTTTCTGGACGAGTACACGTGGGAACGTTCATACACAAGTAAAGGAATGTTACGACGTATCAATGCTTAGTTTATCAGTAAATATCAAAGCAGGGCTATTCGGCAGGAAAGAGAACGAACCAAATTAGTGGGGTTCCGGGAATGAACATAAGTGTCCACAAGATCATTGCTATATGCCGGATGTCGGAAGCGTTTACGATCACCCTAGAAAGCACTGTGTGACGTAACCATCATTTTAAATGCACAATCACCGGTTGCATCTTAGAAACCGATCTGTCTTAGTGAACCTGCCGACCCAAACCTCAACGCGCGCGTTACCCGTGACGATCCGCGTTATAGAATTGGGTTTTAGCAACCCATGCTTGTCGTAAGAGGCGACTAACGGGATCGGGTGGTCAGGCTCGCTGACTTGGTTGACACATGTCATTGTATCTCAGTTGCGTAGATCGATGCTCATGTTATTGATCACTGGATAGTCTGGTCCAGACACGATTATTTACAGACAGGTAATTATTAACGGGTGGTGGTTCAGGGTACCTCATCTTATATCATCTTCCGCACTCTCTCGTCCATTATGACAGCAAGGGACACCAGAAATATCCTTGTACACATTCTACCCTCGTGGGGAACCGAACCTGGGCCTTCGTCATGATGCTTTAACCACTAGGCTACACCACCCCTCTTGAACTCACTCACTCACTCACTCACTCACTTGAACTCCACTCCACCTCTTAACAGTGGTATCAGCACGAGCATCAGCCCCTAACGTTGACACCATGCCCGCACGTCTTGACAGCACGGTAGCCTATCCTGGCCACTTTTATCAAGAAAACTTTGTGACTTGATGCCTACAAACATATGGCGCCTGGTTCTGTATTTGGTTCAAATGCAGCCTGTAAGAATAGATACATATGCACTTAATACATGTCAACTTTTAAGGTTGATTGGTTGGTTTGTTGTTTAAATGACACACTCAGTAATATTCCAGCTATATGGCGGTGGTCTGGACCAGACAATCCAGTGATCAACAGCACCAACATCAAACTACGATACGATGACATGTGTCAACAATGTCGGCGAACCTGACCACTCGATCCCGTTAGTCGCCTCTTACGACATGGGACATGGGTTGCTGAAGACCAATTCTAACCAGGATCTTCACGTGTCGTCAACTGTTAAGTGAGGTAGTGTGTGAGGATTGTGTTATGTCGCCTTTAGTAACATTCCCTCAATATCATGGTCTGATAACTCCAGGAATGAGCTTCACACATGCGGAATCAAACCCGGCCTACCGCGTCACGAGTGAACGCTTTACGCAACTGCCATTAAACTGTAAAACGTGTACTATACGTGGCGTCACGGTTGCCTCAGTCGTCTAAGGCACCGTTATTTGCTGTGGTGAGTTGGTCCTTTGGGCGGGAAAGCAATCTATGATGTGGGTACAAATCTAGATTCGCCTCGATAATGCTTATCGGGTAGCCTAGTGGGGTAGCCTAGTGGTTAAAGTGTTCGCTCGTCACGCCGAAGGTCCGGGTTCGATTCCCCATATGGTTACAATGTGTGAAGCCCAATTTCCTGTTCCCCGCCGTGATATTGCTGGAATATTGCTAAAAGTGGCGTAAACCTCTACTCATTCACTCACTCACTCACTTCCCAGATTATGTCGAGTAAAATACATTTTATACGTTAACGGATTTATCGATGCGAAGCGACATGCATTAAAAGTCAGTAATGTGAGTCAGTTTGTTGTCATCGAGTCTTATTATCACTCTTTCGAAAAGAAGATCACACAACAATTCCCATCTGGACCCTGGAATTGATGCTGAACGACAAGAAGTGCGAGATCTGCGTGTGATAATTTGGGCTATTTCACAAAAACTTCCGAAAGAAGACGTTTCTCCTCATCCGATCTCTTTCACAAAAATGTAATATTTATTTCCAAATTCAATAACATTTACAATTCGACCACCAACCAAATGTTTTCAACAAACATGAGCCCAGCTTCCCACGAATCCACTTCAATGGGAAGTTGACATTGAAATCCTCAAATTTTCATTCCCAAATACCCATTTCTGTTTCTTATATTCCCACAGTGCAATGATTAGCAACTCCTCAGTGAACTTTAACCTCTATTTGTACAAATTAGTTCAGTTGATATTGTTCAGTTGCAGTCCAAATAAAGTAAAATCGCCGAGTTTTTAATTAATTTTCTTAATTAACTTTCCAAATAAAGACATTTGTTTCAAGTCAGTATTTCATTCTGTGGGTATTTGGCATAGTGTGGCTATTAAATCACTCTTTTGATAAATGAAACGGTATTGGTTGCATGGGGAATCATACCACCATCTGATTCTGCGGTATGTTCTAATACCCTGAGCACAGACAGTTAATTGCTTTGTGAACGCTCTGAATCTATTTTCTGCATCTGGCCTGTTATATGCAGCTGGTGACATTTAAAACGTGGTTATAGAGTCTTGTTGCAGCAATGGTATCCCTCTGTTGATATCCCTCTGGTGTCTCTCAAACTGATGTTAATATTCTACTGTAAGGACAAACGAACTGAAATTGAATGGGACTGACTGAGTTTGGTTTTTCGCCGCTTTTAGCAATATTGCAGCAATATCACGGCGGGGGGACACCAGAAATGGGCTTCACTCATTGTACTCATGTGGGAATTCGAACCCGGGTCTTCGGCGTGACGAGCCAACGCTTTAACCAATAGACTACCCCACCGCCCTAAAATGAATGGGATATACGCAGCAGGATCTAAGTTCAGCATTTTTTGTTTTGTTTTGTTTTGGGGTTTTAGTTTTGGTGTTGTTGGGGATTTGTTTTTTGTTAATACCGCTCTGTTCCAGCTTTATGACATCGGTCTGTCAATAATTGAGTCACGTGACTGACATCATGAGTATCGATCTACGCAATTGGGATATGATGACTTGCAGCAACTAATTCAGCGAGTCTGTCCACCCGATGCCATCAGCCAGCTCTTACGACAAGCATGGTTTCCTGAAGACAAATTCTTACCGAGATCGTAACGATATAAAACAGACATGGGGTTATTTGATGAAATGATGATGTAAATTTCATGATAATAGAGATAATTCTTTAATTCTTGTAATTCCCTTTTCTTGGTTTTGAAAATTTGAATTAATCCTTTGTGAAAATGTAGATGCTCACAAAATTAACGAAGGTACTAAATAGGTTCCTCTGTAGCTGCAGATGATTCAAACAATCAACTGATTAATACCTATCTATGTAAAGAGCATGCCTATATAGAAACTCTCTTACAAACAGTGAGTGGGTGACTTTAGTTTTACGCCGCACTCAGCAATATCCCAGCTGTATGGCGGCGGTCTGTAAATAATCGAGTCTGGACCACACAATCCAGTGATCAATAACATGAGCATCGATCTGCGCAATTGGGAACCGATGACATGTATCAACCAAGTCAGCGAGCCTGACCACTCGATCCCGTTAGTCGTCTCTTACGATAAGCATGGGTTACTGAAGACCAATATTCTAACCCGGACCTTCACGGATATTACAAATAGTGATGATAAAAGGTGTTCATGAAAATGTATGCGTATCATGCCCTAAATAGCGGCACAGGTCACAAACACATGCACAGGTAAGTCAATTCTTCACCTGAAAAAGTCAAGAAAAAAACTGAAACAACATTGAGGCCATGAATTTTGTAACCTTGATCAAACAACTTGTAAACCACTAGTAAAGTGTAACTGATATTGCCAACCACCAAGACCAGTATGGGTGACAGAGCCTTGTCAGTTGCAGCCCCAATACTATGGAACAGCCTCCCAATCACTTTAAACAATGACCTACATCCCATCTGTTCACAATATCCCTCTCATAGTCTTTCTTCTTCAGCGCCATTGAGCAAATACTTTTTGGAAACAGGCGTTATATAAATTCATTATCATTATCATATTGCAGGTGAGGGTATACATTCGCGTGGTGTTCCTGAAGATCGGCGAGGTGAACACCTTGAAGGAGAAGTATGCCGCTGATGTGTTCCTGCAGGCCCGATGGGAACAGCCCAAACATTACAAACAGCTGGTAAGTCATACTCATATATGCACAGGATACGTCATGGGAGATACAAACTCTGGGGTTCGAATCATTGTTTGGACAGTAATTTTGAAAAATAACAAAATCTAGACTTTTGCAATCGTATATTGTTTTTATATGTTATGATTAACATACAGTTGAACGAAATCGGTGAAGAAATGAATATTTTAGAAAATTATACCGCTACACTCGTTTCATAAAATACACAAGGGGTGACACTCGCGATGCTGAAATCTTGATCAAAAACCGGATAGACCGAAGATTTTAACGTGCGGTTCAGTCAAACCTTACGTTTTTCACACGAAAAAAAGTTGTGTTGAGCTTGTAGGTCATTCTTTTACCTTTCTGCTCATAGTATTCAATTTGTCTAACTGCATTTCATATTTGACCACTGAATCTCGCATTAGCACTACCTCTGCTTTGAACAAACGTCTGGCCTCTCTTCGGTAAACATCGACAGTTTCCGTAAATCTTTTAGTGGCCCGAAACGTTATTTATGCAGCTTCGAGACACGAAAATCGTTATACGTGGGCATAATGTAAACAATAACACAGACCCCATTTTCATCACCGACATGTGCGTTGATATTTCGTGTCAGCTCGCTATTGTCTCGAAATCGTACACATAAAACATGGATCTGAACGACCACATTGATTGATTATAGAACTTAAGCATCTTTATTTTAGCAAATTTGATGACGTACAATTCGATGATTTGGTCCCATTTCTCCTGTTGCATGCTGGAAATAAACTGAACGCCCAGCTTTTTTAACTAGAAAATGGTTGTTTATCACATTATATAATTAATAATAAATAGATCTAATACATTTGAAACATATAACTGATCAATTCAACCATGTACCTTTAACAATATATGTGCTTTAAAAAATGTAATAATAATAATAAAGAATATATTTGGTATTTTTATTAATTTGGCATATATCATTTCAATATAACATCCATATCTATTCTTCCATTTTGCATGGGGTTGATCATGGTGATGCAATATAGGCACTGATCTTAGAAAGTATAACAATAGTCATGGTATGGCAACATCTGCGTGATGCTTCTGGGAGGTTGATTACATTTCGGACCCTCTGCGTGTTATCTACAGGATATGAAAATAATATGACTATGGTATATATAAAACTGAAAGCACCCCATTCCCCACCACACCACACCCCACCCCAGTAAGTTAAAGTAACGTGTTAAAAAGTAAAAAGAGTCCATTGCAGCATTTAATCAAACTTGTTAACTGCTATCTGGCTGAATAATTGCTGATAGCAAATCATATGACAATTGACACGTATCAGATCTCTTCTAATATCACCAGGGTTATCACGCTCAAATTGATCAATATATATCAAATGTATACTCTGATATATATATATATATATGTATATAAGCCAAACTACGGTACTCACGGCGGTTTTCATTAGTAAAAATCACAAATAGTGGAATGTACATCAGGCTAAAAAGTTCATCTTCAAAGAAATGAACTTTTAAGGCAATGTGTATTTTTGGGTACAGATCATTTGATTCACCATGTTTATTGTTATCATAAACATCTTCAAATATATGTACTTTTAAGGCAATGTATGTATTTTTATGGAAATGTATTAGCATACTGATCATACTGTGTACTTTTGTAATTTCACTTTAGATATATAATGTGTCAAATTCACTGCACTGAGCAGTATATTGGTGTGTATTTTTGGGTACAGATCATTTGATTCACCATGTTTATTGTTATCATAAACATTTCTGTATAATATTGGTATAACGTTTTCATGTTGTTTTGCAAACCGATTCAGACACTTAATGTGACAACATTCTGTGAAAAAAAGTATGTTCATGGATGGATCTGTTTAATTTTTTTTACAAATGATATGTGCCAAAGTAACTCAAGATAATGAATATATTTTTCTGTATTATGTCACTGAGAGTGGACAATTTTACAAGCACATCCACTGTAAAAAACATCGGATTGAACTTTATCATTATGCATTAGAAAAAAATAAAAATAATACGTGGCTTTTCATATTAATAACAAAAGTAGATCTACAGAAGCTAAATACGATGACATTAATAACATTCTATACGGATCTAAACGCTTTCCCTATATTTCACCAGGCGATCGAAACATATATCCGCTAAACCTACCCTGTAACGATGGAAGATATGGGGCATAAAAGGCGATATTTTCGTCATCAAATTTGCTAAAATATAGATGCGAACATTCAATCAGTGAGGTCGTTCAGATCCATGCGTCGAAGCGTTAGCGCAGCCGACCCTGGGAACCAGGTTGAGTCGTTTTCTGTATCCAAGTCACTAAAGAATCTATGGAAACTGTCGATGTGTACCAAAGAGAGGCCAGACGTTTGTTCAAAACAGAGGGTAGTGCTAATGCGAGGGTCAGTGGTCACATATGAAATGCAGTTACATAAATTGAATACGATGAGCAGAAAGGTAAAAGAATGACCTACAAGCTCAACACATTTTTTTCGAAAAAACGTAAGGTCTGATTGAACCGCAAGTTAAATTATTCGGTGTGTCCGGTTTTCGATCAAGATTTCAGCATCGCGAGTGTCACCCCTTGGGTATTATATTTAACGAGTGTAGCGGTATAATTTTCTAAAATATTCATTTCTTCACCGATTTCGTTCAAATTTGAAATATATGTTAATCCAGGGATAATCTACAACAGGTATAGGTCACTCGCTTGCTTTCTTTACCATTTGTACTAATAAGCGTGTGCCTCGTCATGCTACAAACGCACACAGTGACTTCGGCTGCGTTTAACAGTACTTCAGCCAGTTTATTGTATCAGTCGTAATTTTACAATCAATGAATGAATGAATGAAGAGCAAGAATTATATGTGAATGAATGAAAGAAATAAAGAAAAAGAACAAAAGAAAGAAATACATATGTGAATGAATGAAAGAATAAATGATCCACCATGGCCATCCCTCCCCAAACATCTTAAAGAACGAAAACTATCGCTATCGCTATCAGCTGTCCTTTTATGAACAAATCTACTTTGAGACATTTTTTACAATAGTAATTAATTCAGATATCTTATTGCATGTGTGGAATGGCATGAACATTGACAGAATGTTAACTGACACTGTCACACACCTCTCAAAAACAGAGAGTTTAGAACTACCACAGAGCGTTGTAAACGCCTTCCAGTTTTGTCAAATACTGAGATCAACAAGAAGTTTTAGAACTTTAACACTCAAGCATCACAAGCATCAATGGCGGATCAGAACAGATCGGCGATATGTCATCTTTCTCACACACCTCAAATACACCCTAACAATTTTTTTAAAATTATAAAACTATCATTATTACTTGCAAACACCTTTCACCTGATGGTATATTCCCCTCATAAAAATTAAAGGTGTATGTGAAAGATGTTTTAGAACAATAACTAGAAACACTCAAACAACGCCCTGTAGTATTTCAATGGCAAATCGGCGATATGTCATATTTTTCACACACCTCAAATACACCCTAACAATTTTTTTAGTTATAAAGCTATCACTATTACTTGCAAACACCTTTCAACTAAAGGTATATTTCCCTTCTAAAAATTAAACGCATATGTGAAAGAAGTTTTTAGCGATATAATTTAGTCTTTCTTCACTGTGTACCGAGAACTGAAGCCAGTGAGCTACAACATGCCGACTTGAAACTTTACTACAAATCTACTATACAAATACTGACACTAATAACAATTATTGGACTTATAATGAAGTGACAGAATAGGTAACTTATCTTCTACATGTAGGTTTTCAGTTGTCACAACTATCAGCGAATGTAATCAGCTGTTGAAAATAAACAGGGCTCTATCTTAAAAACTACGCTGCCGCCATATTGGCTACATTGGTCACGTGACGAGCCGAGGCACACGCTAGGGGCTTTTCGAGGAGTGACCACTCGCCGTTATATATACTCACACGCATAAGAAACGCAAGTTTTTTTTATCCAAACAGGAAACAAACTTGGAACCCTAGATTGATAGAAGTTTTGGGCATATAGTGAAGCCTGTTGGTGTTATCAATATTTTGTGTTGCGTTTTGGAAGGCCCGAGTAAAAACACAACAATAGAAGGAATCACCAAAACGCACAATACCAATGAACATGTGGGTATCATGCACACACTTCTCGTGAAATCGAACATGGACGAATTGTCACCACCATTGGTGCACAAAAGTTGGGTCTATCACTCCTTGTTCAACAATGTCACGTTTAACTCAAATTGAAAGAAACCAGGCTATCGGACGTTTGGAAGCTGGAGTGTCTGTCCAAAATGTTGCCCGTCATTCCAACGTAAACATAACCACGATTTACCGTCTCCAGCATCGATACAACGCTACACAGACAATAGATGACCTTCCTCGGAGCGGTCGTCAAAGGATCACCACCCCTCGACAAGATCGGTTTGAGAGATCGGTTTGTCAACCTCTTTACCTTTCAAAAACTTAATAATGTCATCAGTCTTGTAGCCAATGAAATGTCTTCACTCAATTTTTCGTCTATCAGACCTGTTTGTATTTCTTGTATTTAATATTGAAAATTACATACATGTAGTCTTTATACTTGGCTTGCGTTACTTTTGCGTGTGAGTATAGTCTCCCTGGTTAATCATAACATATAAGAACCATATACGATTGCAAAAGCCTAGATTTTGTTATTTTTAAAATATATTGTCCAAACAATGATTCGAACCCCTGTGGATACAAAACGACTTAAGGGCTCATCATATCGTTCGCCTGCTCAAAGACCACACACACACACACACACACACACACACACACACACACACACACACACACACACACACACACACACACACACACACACACACACACACACACACACACACACTACAGTCAGGTATGTAGCCTCGACGTTGTGATACTGCTAGTCACAATGTACACAGGTCAGCGACGGTCCCATCGCTTAATGCAACTCTATTTGCAATGATCGTGGGTAGAAATCACAGATTCAGAATGATCGTGTTTTTTGGTTTGTCAGCGTCGTATCAGTCCTCACTGGTTTTACTAATAGAGTGAAAGCAAAATATAACTGTGAACATGCTTTGGTTACTAACTTACATAGACGATATTGTATGAGTGCCCATGTCATACTATGTTTACCACACGAGTGCCTAAATGTTGGTATTTCCCGAGCGAGAGTGAGGGATATACCGATATTTAGGCACGAGTGTCGTAAACATAGTATGATATGGGCACGAATATAATATTCTGTTTATTGCCGAAGTCGTCAAATTGAGGAAAATAAACCCAAATCGTCTTTCAAATACAGGCTGGCTACCCGCCGTCGCCGCATGTAGAACGCAACATCACAGACGAAATGTGACGTCATAGCATTGTTCATGACGTAACGTCACCATGACAAAATTATATTTTGCCCTAGGGCATCGTATGAAAAGTATGAACCCCGATACTTTAGCCCTCGTAGGTAATAAAATTTAAACTGGATTGAACCCCTCACTCACGACCAATATTCACTGAGCGTCGAGCAGTTGGACTGGATGAGAACGCTCGTTGTATTGCTGACCAGTATGCCTGTTGCTTTGTGATATATTTTCCAATTTCATAAAAATATTTTTCTCTTAATTAAGCAACTTTTATTGCTTTTCAAATTGTTTTTTCCTTTTTGGCAAGTGACGATGTTTACTGCTCAACTGCTCACGATGACGTACATGGGGTATTCCATGACGTTGCCATACTGCTTTCGGTGGGTTTAAACAAAACCAGTCATATAGTCTCAATGTTGGCAGGACGAGAATGGGAAGGAAGAAGAATGGGACCCCCAGTTGCAGATCGAGAACGTTCTGGGGGATGCTAAGGAAGAGGAATGGCGGTATAAAGAGGCAATAAGTCCAGATCATTTCCGCGTCTTTGAATGTCGCCGTATAAAGGGAGTCTTTGTCGAAAACCTGGGAGCTCCAGCATTTCCCGTTTGACACACAGGTAATCAATTGAATGAAATCAACATTGCGGTTCAAATGTTCTCAGCTACAAGGAATCCGTTTCTATACGACTTTAATCTCTTCTCGGCATGCATATCGTACATTTGACAGTAACCGACGCCATGTCCTATTGCTGTTTTTTTATTAACCAAAGATACTACATGTACTTATTAATACAATATTGTTGGTACACTGCTTAAAATACATTGTCACATCTGATCCCAGAGATCTCATGAAAGTTTTGAAAATAATTTCGAAAACAAAAGACTACGAAAGCCTTTTAGGACCATTTGCTTTTGTTAAAAACGTTGAAGTTTCCAGGTACTATGTTGAAATTTCATTGTTCTTGCTTGTTTTAACCCCTTAATGTCGAACTCCAGGGAAGATAACAACATCTCGTTCAAGACGACTGAACAACTTGCGATAAATCCCTCAGATAATCCTGAAATTCGACTGACACGTTACCATGCTTATGTGACAACTTGGACCTGTACGAAACCATATGAAAAGCACCTGTAGGAAACCCTATAAATATCCCTACCCCTAGTAATCCAGAGTTCCGTGTCCATGTGCTTCAGGACCTTTCCCTGACGATCTCCTCTGAGTTGACCGAGTGTGAGGTGGATCTCCTGGAGGACAAGGAGGAGCTCAGCAGTGTCAACAAGCAAAGCTTTGTGGACGAGCAAGAGTGGGCACTGTTCGAACATGTGGAGATGTTTCCCAAGGTTTCTGTGAAGGAGTACACCAGCTCCAGGGAAAGGCATCCTACAATGATGGTCATGTGCCATGCTGCTAGACGACCTGGTTTCTTTGTGTGGAATATATTTCTGACAATGGTGAGATAGTATTGAACATGCTTCTGACAATGGTGAGATAGTATTGAACATGCTTCTGATAATCATGAGATAGTATAGAATATATTCCTGACAATTATGAGATGGACTACGTACTGTATTTCTAACAATGACGATATAGAATGGAATATGCTTCTAACAACCATGAAATAGTACACAATATATTCCTGACAATAAGGAGATAGTATGATATATATTCCCGTCAATTATTAAATGGTATACAATATATATTTTTTGCAATGATAATATATACATATTGAAACTAATTAAGCAACACCCTTTTTTCTCAGACAGAGCAACTTTAATGAACTGGTTTAATGAAAGGTTTCCATACCATATGAAGTTTGTAGTGAAAAGAAAGGATTAAGGAGAAACATAGCAAAGACTACTATGACATTTTCTGATTTATTTGAAGATTGTACCGATAAAAAAAGACATTTTCAAAAAGCATCACGAATTTCACTTTGTCTGCACAGACCTAACTGTCTGTTCCATACACACATCTGATTCTCCTGGATATTGCGGATGGAAACAGATCATGCTTTACAGCAAAATGCAAAACGTTCATGAATCATTCAGATAAAAATGCTGTTTCTTAATTCGCAGAATTATAGGTTTATGAATTAGGTGTTGCTTAATCAATTGATATGCACATTTCTAAAAATGATAATATGTCAATGACTAACAGATTGCTGTCCAATAAGGAAATATTATGCAGTATATATTTGACAATGATGAAATAGTATGCAATATATTTCGGCAATCGTGAGACAGTATGGACAATATTTCTGACAATGACGAGACAGTGTGGAATCGTGAACTAGTATCGTAAATGTTTCACAATTCATAGATAAAATATATTTCTTTGGATTGGGATGGGTAATCTGACCTTGGTTATTGGTTAGTTAGTCTTCGTCCAAGTTTATGGGCATTTTCACAGGTCCTTTTGGACAGGAACATGTATGCAAGAATTGTTAGATATGTGTTAAAACATGCTGTACGCCCTCCTTCACACGATAGTGAAAGATGAACGTGTTCTATTGTTCAAGTTTAATTTGATCAAACCCATAAAGATTTTAATTCCCTCCATTAAATTCAAAACCTCATTTCGCGTTCATGCATATTTCATGGTTGCCAGTCGTTTCATCATCTTAGGTTAGTGATTGCAATGTTCCTGAAACCAAATTGACACTTGACATGTCAGTGCGAGATGACTTCAGGTGAATACATGGATTACATTCTAACTACAATGGTTGTTTTTTAGATGTTGATAACGCTGTTGGCTTTCACGACATTTGCTATTGGTGTGACCCTGACCCAGAACCGCCTTCAGCTGTCTTTCACCCTGGTGTTGACTGGAGTGGCCTTTAAGTTTGTCGTCAACCAGTCGCTGCCAAGGATATCCTATTTAACATATATGGTAAGGCATGAACATTAGTGTTGATGTTGGCTTCGTTGACAATCTAACCAGAGAGGTTTGTTTTCAACTGTTGTTGTTTTGAGAAACAAATACGATATGTGAATATTGTTTTGCGTCGCCGTTAGCCATATTCTTCTGTATCATTGCACTTGTACCTGAAAAGTGACAGGCAAAACAGCAACGATCCATGCATCAAGATGACACTAAATTTCATTTTTATGTGTCGATAAAACACAGATTGGACACGACTTATAAGAATAAGTGGTATATTAACCTTTTTGTATTCACCAAAAATAAGAAAACGACATATTAACATAACTGAGTTATATCTCACCAGAGGGTAGCCCGGGACAGATGTGAAAACTTTCGCTCATCACGCCGATGTCCCTAGTTCGATTCCCACAATTGTTACTCCGTCTGAAGCCCATATAAAGTGTCCAACGTAATATTGACAAACGCGGAGTGAGATCATTTTGTACGAGGGTGAGAGGCCCAGTTTGATGTGGTTCATTGACATGTTTTGTCTTAGGTCTCTACAAGGGCTATACTCTTGAAGATCAGTGATAAAATGTTAATTCTGTTCAAAGCAGCAATAAACTCACAACTCACTCACTCACTTAACCTAAGTGACCTTTATTCTATTTCTCTAAACCTCAGTAATTATTGGGAACATACTGAGTGCTTTATAGAAGATGAACTGTTTGAGTGACTACTTTGCAACGAATGTTCCAAAGTCAGCGTACATGCATTTCCTGCAGCATGAAGTCAGTGCAAGAGTCTGTGCACATGTGCATGCATTACATTGATGTTTGATCGCGCGGTGCAACCAGTCTCCATACAGATGATCTGTCGTAATCTATTGATCGTAAAGGCCATGGATTCCGGGCACTGTATTTTCTTTATCTTTTCCTCTTTTATTTCTCATTAGATCGAATAACATACTCAGAATGAGAAAGGTTACTCGGATATAATATTTTACAGCCTTTGAAATTGGATACTGTCGCGCGGATACAACGTTTCTCGTTCGCTTTATCATGCGATACATTTCTCTGTGTGATAAGGTAACCCTGACGTTAATCACACCGATGTGCTCGTGAATCAGTTGTAACCCAAGCGAACAATCAGATCGTTTGCAGTGGGATAGCCTAGTGGTTAAAGCGCTCGCTCGTCAACCCGATAAGCCATGTTTGATTCCCCACAACGTGTGAAGCCAATATCTTGCGTCCCGTGTCGTGATATTGCTGGATTATTGTACATAAAAATCGGCGTAAAACCTTACTCAGACAGTCACATGGAAAGAAGCCAAAAGTGAAGCAAGTTGTAGACGTTTACCGTTTGGCAGGAATATGACGTTGACCCAAATGCAGAACCAGGACGTAAAGTATACGAACCACTATAACAGGCGTCTGGTATACCCAAGGGACGTAACTCACACCATTCTCCCTTTTGCTCCTAACTGAACATAAAAATAACAGTTTGTTAAGTGTTTGGGGCCCAAGGTCGCCCTAAAACCTTACCTACCTACCTACCTACCTACCTACCTACCTTCTCCTGTTTATTGTTCTATACAAAAACAATGTTTCATGGAACTCACTCAAATGAAACAATGCTAGGTATCATTTTCGCTTTTCTTTCCCGGAAACCAACTTTTGATTTATTTAGAATCATTGACAGACTATGCACAATGTCGTGGACGTATATTTATGAATTGCAGGTTCTGCCAGCTGATACATGTAGGTATTCTGCCCTACCGACAACTGTAACAAACACACGCAAAGGCTAGTCAATTGTTCATTCGAACAAACAAACACAGGAATATATGGTTCAAAACCAATATAGGGAACTAACATACATTGCATTATAAATGAACTTGTTCAAAGATAATAATGATAATAATGGCCATTTATAAAGGGTGTTTCCATACACTTGCGCACGCTCAAAGCGCTAACACATTATTACCCCGATAACCCAAGCTGCCTGTTACTCGCTTGAAGGTTATAGTCACATGAGTTATCCCACCGGGTACCCATTTTCTGCTGGGTAAACACAGGCAATTTTGAACAAATTCACTTGCATAAGGCGAGACCGCATGTGTCACATGGGCTTCGTTGTGGGGCAGCAGAAGAAGTCTTAGAAACTCTCAGCAGCCAAACACGATCACCCATTCAATACTCTCCACGCCCAATGTTGCTTAACTTCAACTGATTTGTGACCTGAGGACCACACACCACCCAAAGATTCGTTAAGTTGTAATTAATTATAATTAACTCACACTAAGTCACTCATATTTGCACATCTCAATCTATAACAGGGTGGTTAATTACTGCACTTGATGTTTGTATCACATTATCATATCTAGGTTGCGAACATTAAAAAGAATAAGGATTCTGTTTTGGTAAACTTTGACTCACTATGGAACGGTAGGTTAGCTAAGCATTCGCTCGTCATGCTGAGGGGCGGCGGGGTAGCCTAGTACAGTAGTAGTTAAAGTGTTTGCTCGTCACACTGAAGATCCGGGTTCGATTCCCCACATGGGCACAATGTGCCAAGCCCATTTCTGGTATCCCGCGCCATGATATTGCTGGAATATTGCTAAAAGCGGCGTAAAACTAAACCCACTCACTCACTCGTCATGCCGAAGATTAGAGTTCTATTTCCGTGCATGTATGGATTCCATTTCTGGAGTCCACTGCCGTGATATTGCTGAAATATTAGTAAAGACTGCGTAAAACCACACCCACACTGTCACCAGATCGGTATAGGTTGTATCTGAGTTAATCGTTTTCAAATTGGAAACAAAAATACATTAATCTGTCTAAAGCTATATTGAGCTCATTGCTATAAATTGAATGAATCATCAATCACTGTCGCTGTCAATCAAATCAGCCCTGTCTTTGTGACAAGTGACCCTTGTATACAATATGACTGGTAAACGCTTCATGATAAATGTCATACATTTGATATCAATATTGACATTAAAAGTACATGCACGGATTTACCAACGAAAAGTATCGGCAATATAAACAATTCAATTAAAAAAATATTAATGGTGTGTAGGCGAGGTCTCGCTGATGACGACGGTAGTGACAATGATGGCGTTGATGAATGGTCATTTGCGTCATTCATGACAATAGTCGGTCCCTCTTTTGCAGCTCAATATCTTCCAGAAACATATCAGTATTGTTTTCAACAAGCGTAAATCCGATGATCTTTCTTCGTGCGGCAATCTAACAATATATTTGACGTAAACCACCATGTGCGCATTATCTCCTTGTCGTTAATTGTAGGATATATTTGTCAGAAGCCAGAGACACAATGGTACTTATTAAGGGCGATTTCTGCAACACTCAACGCTAACCAATACTTCCTGAATGATCGGAGTTTCATGCTTTACATATGACGTCACGTTGCCAGGCAGCGTTCATAACACATAGGTGCGCAATACCAGCCGAATGATATTCTATTATATATCGTGAAATGTCCGTATGAGGAAATATCACTGAAGGAAATGTCATTTGGGAAAATTGGTTTCTGGAAACAGAAGAGAGTATTAATTATATCTAAGCCAGACTGCTTTCAACATACACTGAATATCCAGAGGGCATGTGGATCGTGATACAGCGAAGCTATAATGATAGTACTGAGATGGGCTTTTTTGTGCGTGTTTCGACATCAACAATCAACATCTATGCGTTGTTAAGAACGATATGTTAAAGTAACGGTTACATTTAAAACATCTTGGTGGGTCGAATATGCAGCATATCAGCCACATCCTGATTAGAAATACATGTATATCTAAGTGTGATATACGTATGAATTTATTATTATTTTAATTCAGTATTTGGTGAAAACGTTGAACTTGAAAAATACGGAAAACTGTGTTAAAAGTACATTGTATACAATACAGGATGCCTTTGTTGCCATCATGTAGACATAAGAATATCAGCTGGATATAACTTAGCTTAGTAAGGCAACCTGGGAACTGGTTGTCTCACAGGGGTTCGAATCACTGTTTTGACGATAATTTTGAACAATAAAATTTTGACTGTTGCAATAGTATATTTTTCTTAAATGTTATGATTTAACATATATTTCAAATTTGAACGAAATCGGTGAAGAAATGAATATTTTAGAAAATTATACCGATACACTCGTTACATAAAATACTCAAGGGGTGACACTCGCGATGCAGCCCGAATATTTTAACGTACGGACAGTCCGAATACTTTACTTTACTTTATAATAACAATAAACATACATAAATTGTACAGGTATTAAGTGAAAGTTAGAAATAGACCATGTCAAGACTTGTTTAAGATATTTGATGCTATGATCATTCCTATAGGGTGTTATGGTGCAGAAGTATAGGGGACCTCATAGTGTATAATTATTGAAGATGTACAGCATAAAATGTGTAAATGGTTCTCAAAACGTGTAAAGCAACAAACAATGTTATGGTTTGGGTATAATGTGCCAGAGCCCCTCTCCAACTTGTCAACACCACAAGGGCTATTAAGTATTAGTGCAGGCTACTGTATTTGGATGAACACAGTATGCCAATGCTACCTAATGGACGCCTCTGGCTGTATCACATGGGCTACTCATATTAAAAATATTATGTTTAGACTTGGATTTGAATATGTGTGGTTAACACAAGATGTTGGAAATGTGAAGATATTTATTCACTTTGTTTATCCAGCAACCTACAACGATCATGGTGTACTTCTATCAACAGTGTATCTGATTCCTTCTATTAATATTTCATTATGTGTCCGTTTTCCTATTACATACTCAACTGTAGCTGAATCTCGGGTTGGAGTGGAGTGGGGAATGGGGTACATTCAGTTTCATGTATATCATAGTCATGTGATTTTCCATATCCCGTAGATAACACGCAGATGGTCCGATGTGTAATCAACTTCTCGGTAGCATCACGCAGATGTTGCCATACCATGACTATTGTTATACTTTTTAAGATCAATGCCTATATTGCATCTAATGTGGTAAACAACCATTTTCTACGTACAATAGCTGGGCGTTCAGTTAATGTCCAGCATGCAACAGGAGAAATGGGACCAAATCATCGAAAAAATAAAGATGCTAACTATATTCAATCAATGTGGTCGCTCAGATCCATGTTTTATGTGTACGATTTCGAGACAATAGCGAGCTGACACGAAATATCAACGCACATGTCGGTGTTGAAAATGGGGTCTGTGTTATTGTGTGCATTACGCCCATGCATAACGATTTTCGTGTCTCGAAACTGCATAAATAACGTTTTCGTCTACTAAAAGATTTACTGAAACTGTCGATGTTTACCGAAGAGAGGCCAGACGTTTGTTAAAAGGAGAGGTAGTGCTAATGCGAGATTCAGTGGTCAAATATGAAATGCAGTTAGATAAATTGAATACCATGAGCCGAACGGTAAAAGAATGACCTACAAGCTCAACACATTTTTTGGGGTGGAAAACGACAGGTATGATTGCACAGCACGTTAAATTATTCGGTCTGTCCGGTTTTCGATCAGGATATCAGCATCGCGAGTGTCACCCCTTGTGTATTTTATGTAACGAGTGTAGCGGTATAATTTTCTAAAATATTCATTTCCTCACCGATTTCGTTCAAATGTGAAATATATGTTAATCACAACATATAAACACAATATACGATTGCAAAAGTCTAGATTTTGTTATTTTAAAAAATTATTGTCCAAACAATGATTCGAGCCCCTGTGGGTTGTATGATACCTTTAACATACTGAATTGTAAGTACGTACATGGGAATAGTTCTCGTTTAAGGAATCCGATATCTTCATAAACGTTTCACAATATATACTCATATGATATTAAATTGTGTATTCGTTTCAAAATATTAAATGGTTTATGAATATGTCGCACTATAATATTTGTTGAGTGGACTGTCAGAGATGAGGAATTGTCACATCTCGTTGGCCTGTGGTAACGAACTGAAGGGAAGTGGTATGAGTGGAACTTTGGACTTGAATATAAATAACAAACTCCAAAATGATGTAGTTAAAAAAGTATGGCACTATAGGTGGTGCGCCAAATAAACATGCGATGCGTTCTAAAATGAATCATACAACGTCTAACGATATAAGCTGTGACGTCATGCATTGTTCCTTAGGTATAGTACAGGGAGACAATAGCTGATAACTGACGTCTCTATGATGATGACATGTGCTGAAATTGGAAAAACGTGATCAAACCTGATCAAAGGTAAAGATGTATTTTATCATCTTCCTATATCAGACCTGTCAATCAATTGTCTGTGTTTATTGCAAAGAAGACGTAATTGAGCTGAATGTCGCCATTGATATCAAATCTCATCAGATTATCTCGCTGTAGCCTGACGTAAGTACCAATGCATAGGAACGCTGGTCAGTTGATGAGGATGTGTGGGGAAGTTTATACGTGTGATGAAAATAACAACCTGTGATCCCCTGCATGAGGTTCAGGCGAAGACAGGTGGGAAAGGAGGTTAAGATGAAGAGGTTAAGGTTAAGAAAGGAGTTAACCAGAGTGAAGAATGGGCTTGTATTTAAAAGGTCACATGCAACGTAAAACACAACTTTGCAGATTCTGATACCTTTCGGTATGGACTTACCGAAACAAATCGTAAAAAATGCAAATTCAACTTATAAAGTTGAAAAATAACGCGATGAAAAAAAACGCGCGAAATCGGAGTTCAAACGTTTCACTAATTTTCCCCCGACTTTTCTGGGGAAAACGGGTTTCAACAGCTGGGCTGCGCTTATAGCACGTGCGCAGTGAAGTAGGTTCGCGCAGCTTGGAAGCGGTTGTCCGGTGAATACTCGGTGAAGGCTTTGGTGTGAGCTATTTTTCTAATGTTTTGTTGATATCTCACAGGCGCGAGCTTTTTATATGTTATGACAGTAAATTAACTGTTTATATAATTTCATTTGTCTATTTCACCACACGTTCTTCTTACCGAGTCACTTTCTCAGTTCGATACTTAAAAGCAATGCCATTATTTAGCGTTGACAGAATTTCCAGCTGTGATATAGATATGTCGTTGTCACAGACTAAACTCAATGTCTTGTTTTATTGACACCTGTGTGTGTGTCTGCCTGCCTGTCTGCTAATGACAATATTCAATACACAGCTGCTATCACTGACCACATGCAATTTGAACTTAACACCAATCAGGCTGTACACCATAAACAAAATGCATTGATTTATGGCCCGAGTTCGGTCTCTGTCACATTATGTAATTACACAGATAGGCAGGTGTGATACTTGAACACATGACATGTTATGATGTCTGTTGATTGCAAAATGTTATACACAAAAAATGAGCATGTATTTACAAAACCCAACATCTCTATATATACACACACAATGACCCGTGAGGGCATCTGCAAATGAACCAGCCGTTACACTTGAGTGCACACCCACCCGCTCTGACTGGGTTCGGTATCCCGGCTGCTTTATTTCTAGGGAAGTAAACCGAAGTACACAATATTGAACTTTTGATTTGCGATTGTACGCTTATAATTTTGTTTATATGTTTTTTCATAACCAGCAATGTATATTATATGTCATGAATAAGTGATAATTGTGTTTTAATTATGTTTGATTTTTTGTTTGCCTGTGACCTTTAAGTTATACCAGCTTAATGGTGACGGAAAGCCAGAAGTGATACCGATCATAGACTTTTATTATTTCTATCATATCCATTTGCACGAGTGTGATGCTGATGAACCTTGAGTGAGTGAGTAAGTGATATCACGGCGGGGGACAGCAGAATTGGGCTTCACACTTTGTACCCATGTGGGGAATCGAACCCGGATCATCGACGTGACGAGCGAACGCGTTAACCGCTATCCTACTCTACCGCCCCTGATGAACCTTGAATATAAACGAGGACGATCATAGGTGTTAAAGGCACTGACCTCTGCACAGCGAATTGAATGTCGGTTTGCATACAGGTATAAAAGAGTAACGAGCGGCGTTCCATAAAATACTGGAAAGCAATTTGTCTAAGGTTTCAAACATAAAATATGCAGAATCAAGAATCTTGAGTTAATCTATGGATACCATGGCTTATGACGTCATGAGATTATTGCTCTCAGTGTGTTTTGTCAGGCCTCGTTGTATGATCAACATGTGAAAGATTCCCGAATCTGGCACGTCAGTAGTAAAAGTCTTATCACACAATTCCCTATTTTAACTGGTGCTATGTGTATCTTTGTTCGTTCAGTGAACAATTGACTGGCCTCTGCATGTGTCTGTGACGGATAGCACTGATTGGGCAGGATGAGCTCACGTTCTCGCCAACACCTTGACCATCACTGTTTGAAGCAATTTATAAACCCATGCTTAATGTGTTATCGAAATTGTACAACTGTACGATGGCCATTGTAAACGATGAGACTAAAGATGAGATTCTCACTGAGTGAAATGTAACTTTTACAAAGTCCGATTGATACTGAGATCATATAATTGTATAGTTGGCATTTATGTATTAATTGAAATAAGATATGACGTTTGGAAAGGGTGTTTGCAAAGCGAGACGTCATTTCACATTTTGTAGTTTATTGCATACAGTAAATTAATACTCTACATATTTCGTTGACTATTACCACGTACGCTAAAGAACAGAATGGCATGATGAGAATGTAGGAATGAAATTACGGGTCCGTGTTTGCAGCGTCACCTGGCTACGCGGTCAGAAAACAAAGGGACCACAATTCGCTGAGCAAAACTGCGTCCACTGGCTTGCCAGAAACCGATAATTATGAATTTACATCATAGCTTCGACCAGATTACTTTGCTATATTTATCCATACCTGCACACGTCGTGATAAACATGCATGACCGGCATTTCTAAGAGATTTCCTCCCTCGCCAAACTGATACTCCGAGATATACTTCGTTCACAGCGGTGATACCCTTTGTGTTGTCATTTCATTTTGTGTCTACATATATGTGTAATGTTGAAAGTGTAGCCATGATTTTTAAATCTTCCATGATTACCAAACATAGTCATAGATGCAAGCTTGAATAACATAATACATTTTTTGAGGGTGACCCGTGAAGAGACGGGTTAGAATTTGTCTTCAACAACCCATGCTTGTCATAAGAGGCGACTGACGGGATCGGGTGGCTGATTGACGCATGTCATTGTATCCCAATACGTAGATCGATGCTCATGCTGTTGATCATTGGATTGTCTGGTCGATTTTTTTACAGACTGGAATATTGCCGAGTGCGGCGTTAAACAAACAAACTAAACAAATCTTTGTGGGTAAAGAGTTCAAATTTATTAAATGACATCAACACGACAAAACAAGTCTTCCCTTGGGATAATGGGTGTGCATAAAACTAATGCAAGCACATTCAGTACTCTTCACAAATACAAATTTTAAACATGGCGGTTATCAACATGTGCCACCTACAACAAACATAAAAATACCCATCCGAAGTTATCTCCCCTTTTTAATGGTTACACTTCAATACCCAAAGTAGATATTAACATGATGCCACCTACAACAAACATAAAATGCCCATCCGAAGTTATCTCCCCTTATAAATGGTTACACTCCAATACCCAAAGTAGCCAGTATCTTCCTTGAAAATGTTTAAAAACCAATAATGGGATTAGTTTACGAAACATGTTTGAATAGTTGGAAAACCAGGTAAGCGAAAGTCGTAAATTGTTCAAGTGGTTTGAGATTCTTCTGTATGATCCATGTAATGCTTTATGTTCATTCAGGACAAATACATCCTCTCTTCCATGGTGTATCTGTGCCTGGTGTGTGTGTGGCACTCGGTGATTGGTCGGCTGCATGAGATTGGGCACGATGATTGGGCAATGGACTATGACTGGAAAGCTCTCCTGTGCTTCGTGTGCACCTACGTCTCATTTCATTTAGGATTCTCAGCATGGATATATAAATACGTAAGTATTAAGACGTGACATATAACTCTTGTGCTTACTTGTTTGAGGGTTTCCTGAGCTCATGGGTATGGGGTTGTTGTTGTTGTTGTTGTTGTTGTTGTTTTGGTACATCTAAGACTTTTGATTGCCACGCTAAGACATATAATTGACACGCAAGAAGGTTGCCAGATTTTGATTTTATTCGCAGTTGGTGAATTATAATGTGACGAAACGTGGAGGACTTTTGGGTGGTTGGCGTTAAGTCTATTTACGCCAAACGCAAATATGATTTATGCAGCAAAATTGAGATTCATGTAGATATGACGGTTCTTCAGTCTTATTCAAGTATTAATTTCTGGTTTAAAACCTTTGAAAACACACCGTAATTTCTGCAGTGACTAATCTTTCCATGGCGAAAGACACATTCCATGAACAATCAGACAAAAAACATAACATAACTACATAACATGTAGTTTAAAAGTCTGTGAATACATGAATGCTGACATCCTAGATGTTAAATGTGCGCGAATCAGACAACAACAAAAGTGTATCCCTTACTCAAGTGTATGCCTTACTCCCTGCTTCAAATATTTAGCCTGTTCACATAGTGGCATGGTAATTCGGTTAAATATTGTTTAAACGGTCGAGAATTGTTCTGGTGTTCCAGTAGCTTCATTTTCGGCAAAACGTAATGCAAACGGAGACTTTATGGATCATTCACTAATACCAAGTTGTCTTAGGAGGTGAGGTGAGGTGATATGGGGTTTAACGTCGTGCTTGAGAATATTTCGCTCATATGACGACGTGCATGCGTGTGTCTGTGTATGTGCAGCTGCTTGTACTAGCCCAGACTTAAGCTGGTTTTATAGTGCTAGCCCACTGAGATACCATGCCGCAGTGAAGCATGAATACCCCACTCAGACACATTATACTGACTCCGAGCCGACCAGTCTTTGTTGTACCCATTAATGCCGAATGCCAGGCAGGGACCAACAAGTACCAAATTTTAACGTCTTTTGGTATGACGCGGTCGGGGATCGAACCCGCGACCTTCCGCTCTCCAGGCGGACGCTCTAACCACTACACCACGGAGGCGGTCTGTCTTAGGAGACATTTAGAAGCTTGAAATACCTGAAGCTAAACTGTCGCCATGTTGCACGACATTGCACTTTAAAATGTTTGATGGATATTTTTCAGAGAAATTATTCTTTATCTGTGTGTGTCATGCTGTTAAAATATCATCCTTCTGTTCTTACTGTTTCACCATGTCACACCAATCCCTTCCATGTTTGATAATTGGCTTTACTGCTAATCCTAACTTACGATATATGATTTTGTACCATGTGAATCATCCAGTCTTGATTGACAACTGTGAGAGGGTCTATACCGAAACATTGTTATTAAAGTAAAGTACGATGAAGAAGTTGTTATCAATAAGCGCTTGTCTACTTTGTCAATGTTTAACTATTGAAACCAGGCATGAAACAAACTAATCGCAAGCTAATGGTAGAAGTGGGAAACAAGTTTGATTTTACGAATCTGTTGGGTTTTTAATATTATCGCTGGAATTGTATTCTGTTCAAGTTAGCATTTTTTCAACAATATTTAAATTCTTTAACCCTACCTAAGCACACATAGTGTTAATCGTATGCTTAAGAGCTGTATCTCCATTGTATTAGTATGATGTGTGATATGATTAGTATAGCACATGTTGGATCTTGTTAAATTGTATTTAAACATAGAACATGGCTTTTTTAAAGACAATGTCGACAAGAAACATCAGAACAATGTATCGATCTCAAATATATTTTTTATCAAATATAATTTCCATAACTGTGTGAATACACTAAACTCTGTCAATAACAAAATGTGTGTACACATTAACTGAGAAATGAAAATTAAAAGTAGTTTGTTTTGTAATATCATCCTTTACCAATCAACTAGTTGACTATTCTACATCATTGTTTGCTTATTGTAATCGTTGTCATTGTAAAGCGAAGAAGTTGATACGGGGAACGTATATTGTTTCTTTAAATTCAATATTTTTCTAAACATCCCACAAACAATATATATAACTAACTACTAAACTCAAATCTTAATAAAATGTTTTCGACCTGGGTATTGAAATTCCTCCATAAAACACGAAATATCCAAAGCAATACCTTACAGTACCAATGTGCCATGTTGATTTCAGGCCTGGCGCCGTCGACGCCTTATGGAGAAAAAGGACGAGGCTTACAGGGTAAGTCTATATCATAGGAGTGGGTAACTTTGTGTATTTCAAGCCGGGTCTGACCCTCAATGTTACGTACAATCTCGGGATAATACATCTAACGTTCAATATGTTTTCGCCTCCATGTATGCCTTTGTAACTGACTGGTACGGAATAGCTTACTTATCTGTATGTAGGCTACTACAATTTGGCGGTGGTACTGGTGTGTAGTATACACCTCAGAGAAAATTCCAAGTGTCGCAAAATGCCACATATGTGTTCCACACAGTTAATAATTATAGCAATCTCACTTGGCTCAATGTCACACCACACTTCTCTAAAAATAATAATAATGCACTCTACCGGCCGAATATTACTTCAATCGAACCCTATAGAGTTATGTCCCATGAAGCGCTCTTTACGAATATCATCTACACAAGTTGTTATTGAAACCAATTCGGCGAACACCAACAACATCGCGTGCGACAGTTTTCGGTGTACGGAGCAATTGTTTACATTCCATATATGGCAAGTGTTATCTGTTTGGAAGGTGTCCGCCTCGAAGTTTCAATTATCGATTTCAGGCAAGTCGTAACGGATAACAAGTCTTTTATTGCATCAATAGGAAGCTAAAGTGAGTGCATATGCCCCAATTTATATAAATTAAGTATAGACCACAATATTGACGACAATATGTGACATTGTGCCTTAAATGACAGTATCCTCCTCTGATTGGTTGAGCTCTAGGGGATATGACTTCTAGTCACAAGACTAGTCCGTTTGCGGGTCTACAAAAATGTATTCTGGTTCTGGATAAAGGAGCTATCTCTGAACTCTCAGTTTCAGACCGAACGTCTAGCTCTGGTAGTTCACAATTACATGTATGTACATGGAGTTAGCTAAACAGACATTCCTGACCCTATCCTAAAAGGATTGTAGCTGCTTGACTTGTGGTACCTCGTCTGCAATCCCTGTGTGTTGCGTAGGTGTTCACCAGGTAATATCCCTTTTCAGTTATGTGTTTATAAGAATATCGTTTTGCTTTCTAAGAATATACCCTGACTTTCCTCATTCCATTTTGGAGAAAGCTGTTTGTATAATTAGCCAGTCCAAAGTTATGTCTACTATCTTGGAATACCCGTTCCATTCCATGAGCGTTGATGTATTTTCAAAACGGAGAACCGTCTAAAATGCACAGAAAAGCTCGAAACCGGCTCTTAATGGCCATTGTAGTTGTTCATTCTTGGAATAGTTTGAACGCTGGGTTATTTACTTGTTACTTACAATGATAGTACCTCGCTTGATTATACAGATAGTTGACAATACTCGCGATATTATCATCAGAAACGTATGTTACAGTTTGTCTGCTGCGCTCCAGGTCATATCATCTGACAATAATCATAATAACATAATTATTTATATTCTCGTGAATAGTGTGCCATTACTGGTATCGCCCCAGCATGCAAATCTAAATCAGTGATATCAGCATCACCTATCTAAGGCGACGCATGGACATGATGCATGATGTCGTCGGAATAGGACATTACAGCGCTTTCGCGGATATTTTTTCTTGCGAGTACGGAAGGGTTGTTTTCGGTATTTACCAACTAAACTCGGGACTTCAGTGACAGGGAGACCAAAGAAAGAAGATCATGCATGACAGAGGCTTTGAACCGATTGTTTGAAAGGATCAAATAATTGCGGTGAGTAATTTTCTTGCAATGAGTAGAATAATTTGATAATGACTGTCATTTAATATCATGGTGGTATCGTTTGATATGTCAGCCTTTCCATATATATCTTTACATGCCGGTAAACTCTACATCGCACTCGTGGCCATATCTAAACCTTTAACTCTGATTTAATGTATCTACTTACTCAAGAATTTGAGGTTATCTCACTGCTTGTCCATAGGCTGTCATTATATCGTGGTACAGGAATACCCTGTATGACATGTTTGCACTCAACTGCTCCGGATATAGTATGCGTGTCTAATTCAGCATGTATAGATTTCATGTTTCAGGGTAGAGAAGCTGGGATGGTGATGAGCAGAAGACTGCCAGCATTCTAACAAGACGTAACAAGACGCAGACTGCTGTCAATATCTGGATACATCGCCCGATCTCAACTGCTGCTGAGGGACGAACCTTGTGAAGTTGTAGACTGTTTTGTCTTGATCTTGCCATCGTCTGAAGATTCGCGTTAGAATTGATCTTCAATAACCCATGCTTGTCATATGAGGCGACTAACGGGATCGGGTGGACGATCTTGCTGGCCCAGGTGACACATGTCATCGTATCCCAATTGCCTGGATCGATGCACATGCTGTTAATCACTGGATTGTCTGGTCCAGACTCGATCATATACACACCGCCGCCATATACCTGGAATATTGATATGTGCTATGTTAACCAACAAACCAGGAACCAACCAACCATCACAAATTCTTGGTCTTGTTTGACATTTCTTTCAAACGATCGTATGTTTCAAAATAAAAACACGTGATTCTCCTGTATCTGTTATATTTGACAATTACAATTAAACCCCCTATGTCGAACACCCCTTTGATGTGTCGAACTAATGGTTGTCTCGAAACATAAACTTGGTCCCCACCCGTGTCAAACACCCCTCTGCGCTCCTTCTAAGTAATCATTTGCGGCTGTGTCGAACATCGGATTACACGAAGTATATGCTTTTTTCGGCCCTTTTGTCTTTCGGCCCGAAGTATATACATAGGTCCCTCCAACTTCGACTCAACGATGTTTGACTCTCTCCCTCTATATGCAGAGAATTCATTTATCAAACTGCGGTTTTGCATTCTTTTGGCAAAAACGTCCTTAACAATAGTAGTGACGTGACCCAGTATGGGTCTAGATCTTCAGGCCATCTGCTCCTATGTGATGGATCTTTTGATATTCCAGGAAGAGGGGCCGGGGTTAAATATAACAACGAATATAGCTATATATTTATAATATAAATTGTTTGCTACACATTTGTGGCTCACAATTTGTAGTTCAGAAGCACATTGTCAATAATATTTATTGATATACGTAAAACATTTTAACATATCTCCAAATGCAATGTTTCTGAGACGTTTCATGGTTTTACTTTATAGAACGTTCGTCAAAATGCACCCGGTGTTTTGAGAGCAGGTCGCGTGAACGTACTACCAAATAAGTTTGATAACACGAGAAACGGGAGGACACGGTGAGAGTCTTACAGTGGCAAACAAGTAGTAGCGAGCACGGTCGTAGAAATAGATTACTAGTTGCACATAGTATTATACTAGTAGTTATTTGTGTCACAGTGTAGAAGTTGTAGTCACAATTTATCAAGTTTGATCATTCTTTTTCTTCTTCTCCTTCTTCTTAAGTGAGTATATTTATATTAAAATCAGGCTTAATCCTTGGAAATAGTCCACAGGTTTATACATTATAAACAGGTTTAGTTTGGTAGGTTTTGCGGTTTCTTGAGACCAACCTTGCAACTTATTAAATCCATTCCGCAACAGTACTATCACAAGCGTATGCGTTTTATGATTCATCATTAGCCTATATGAACTTCAGTTTGGCCGAAGAATGGTACAAAGAGCTCGCGAGGCACAGGAAGAAATAAGCTTAAACAATCCGCATACAAAATCCAAAAACGCCATGATCATGTTTGCCGCTCTTGACATCTGCATGGTGCCCTCTGGATGAAATACCAGTGACCCGTGGAACAGTGTGTCTCTTGTTGAAGAGCCAGAACAGCCTATTCAATGTATGCGGTTGGGTGGGACAAGACCTAATTCAGCGGCTAGCAACACCCCGATTCCTTTAAACGATTCCTCGCTACTTCTTTGATGGGTATTTTAGAAGCTGACGTCTTTATCATGTGAAAAGCGATGTGATAACAACGACATTAGAATCTATGTCGAAACGTCGCCTTTCACAGAATAAAGAAGTTGTATATCCATAAAATGACGTTCATTCTTGATTCCTCATTGTTTGGTCACTGTTTGTAGCAACTCTGAAATCACTGCTTATTTATTATGACAACTTAAATCTGCCTGGCTACGTACTGGATCTGTGCGTCATCACGCTGACTTGTTTAGGGACGTCTGCCCAAACCAGGTCATATCTTTAGGTCTCCGTCTGATGAGGTTCCGAGCTATTTGGAAAATGAAAATCCCTATCGTTACCTTTCCGATTGCTTATAATATCTACCTCATCGTCATCGCCCTTGTATTTGACTGATTTGCATATAACCCTGACGTTTTAGTTTCTGATTCGTTATTTCGGCGCCTGTGCTTTTGTTCCCACAATTCATGATTTGCACATGCTGCAGCTTTTGTAGAAATGTGTGGGCATGCATTCTTGCGTAGTGTCTATTCTGCATTTTCCGCCATTGTATTACAAGAGCTGTTGATGTGATACGACTACATCGAATACTAATACATTTGTGTAGATGATAAAACATCTGAAATATATCCGTGGTTCGATTCCCGATTCAAACGAAAATCATTTCGACATTGATCGTGATGTCACCACTAGATTCAATGTAAACATATTACATTTTGGTTTTGGTTTATATACGTTTTGATAGCATACGCCAGGTAGAATTTGACACCAACAATGGCACAATAAGCATCGTTGGCCTATTATAAGAAGATCTGCTAAATAATCCCTCCAAACGCAGTAGGAAAGCAGTAAGCTCGGTTACCAACATCTGGGCACCATCATTAGCCTCCAGACGCCAGAGGGATTCGAAGCTGATAAAATCTAATCAAGTACACCGGCTAAGAAATGCAGGGAGCAAACTCAGCCATGACGATTAACCGAGTGCCGATTAACGGTCAGATATAAGGTATATACAAGGACCAAAACACGTCTAAGATGCCAAAGCATCCAATCTTGCAATTAGAGGATATTTCAAGTTTGACGGGTTATTTCGTCTCGTAACACCGACACATTGAAAAAGGTCGTTTTATTGCCCTCTGTTGTGAATGGGATACAAGGTTTAACACAATTAGGAATGTTACAGCTACGGTTTGCAGCGTACGCTTAAATATGTAGCTCCGTTGGCTACCAGAGTCCTCCTTTCTAGTGGACATGGAAGTGGAAATCTGACAAATGCTCAAAGTGGAAATCTGACAAATGCTCCAGACAATATTTTGTACATTAAAGTACCCGCTAGCTATGAGTACACGTGGAGGTGGTAAGTGGTCTAGTGGTCCTAGGTGCTTCAAATGCCTCGATTCGATCTGCGTATTATGAATTCAAACATGTCATTTAGATAGTAGTCAGTTGTAACATATGTTATATTTAGGATTAAACATTATCAGTAAAGTGCAGATTTTAGTTATTTAATTTCTAGTTTGAGTCCCATCCGGGATTCGAACCCACACTCTCGGAGTCAAGCACCCAATCGCCATCACAGAAAGTGGGACAGCTGGTTATGATCCTTGTAATTGTTTTTTCCCGCACCATTCCAGTGATCACAGAAGCTAATGAGGTTATAAACGTTTACCAGGTGTGTCGTTTTAGGCTTTCCTCATATTAGGGCTGCCAATACCTCGAGGACATGGATCCCTTCCCATGACAAGCTGCTGTAATACCCTGGCATCCAAAGACATAGGCTATTTATAAACTGTACATATTGATAGGTTGATTCGAATCCAGAATCTTTGGTGCCTGGCATGACTAAAGGGCTCAACTCTTTCATATATCACAAAGACCTCAGGGCCTAAGTGCCATACATTAACATAACCTTACGACTATCTTAGCACTAAAAGAGCTTCGAAAATCTAGGCCCTGGTACTTAGTATGTTAGTATTTACGTAATCATATATCCCTTTTGTGTTTACCCTAGGACAAGGTGAAAATGATTTGCCGAGAGGAGTCAGCAACCCTCCTAAAGCGACGTAGAATGAGCGCCTGGAGCCCGGCCGTTACTATGAAGAACGTCCTACAGCCCACGTGACAAACCGCCATCTTGTATAGAAAGGGAGACAACCCAGGCTACAGTGACTACATTGAGACTAACATTGATGACATTGCCTAGAGTCAAGATGATTAATTATGCCCATTGACAAATGACAACAGCAAACTGTGATCCCTGATTATGCATTCCAGTAGGAACACATCCCGGCATTTTGTGTTGTTTGTAATCACCAACTGATCATTTCAAGCTGGCTTTTGGTGTATATGATGTGTTTGATATAGTACATCGTGAAAAAAACTCTACTTGACCAAATATGCCGCTGACATCATTGAGCAAAATGATATGTTGGAGTTTTTCCAACTCTCATTTGAATACTTCTTTCTTTCATGTTAACGACATATAAGTAGATATTCTTTCTTTCGAGTAGTGTTTAGAAATTAGGATGATACACATTGTGATGTTGTGTCTTGAAACAGGACATGTTCTTTACCAGACTGGGTTCAGGGCCTCGTTTCACAAAGCGATCGAAGTGCTGGGACCATCATAAGTCCTATGCTATAACGGTGACTTTGTAGAGCTACGATCGCTTCGTGAAACGTGCTCCAGGACCAGGTCCCTAGGGAGGTTACAGCTTTTGGTGAACGTTGCTTGGCTGTTTAAAAAAAATCAACGATTTCATTGGTTAAATCATGACTTGGAATGACAGATTATCTTTCCCTCGTTATATTTATCATGCAACAACGTAATTATTATTACTCGGGAAAGATAATCTGTCATTCCCCGTCACACGTTAGTTGTTGCCTAAATCTGCGTTATTCTCAGAACCAAAAATAATAATATGCTGATATCAAGATGAATGTTTATAAAAGAGTATGCCATTTTCAGGTATCAATATGCTAATATGACTTCTACAGTTAGAGAACTACGGTTATAACGAACTCAAATGGACCATTAATTTTAGGTCGTTATATCCTTCAGTTCGTTATCTGTCAGTTCGTTATAAACCTAGTTTACTGTACATATGAAACACATGTTCCAAATCCACCTTTTCTAAACTTAAGCTTTAAGTCATGTTCTTAGCATCATACTTTGTAATATATATGTTAGTCTGTTCTATTCGTGGCTGTTATGTTAAACATGGCTTGTGATACAGCCTTAGGTGTTGTTGTAAATATGTATGTTTGTCCTAAAGTTGAACCTATTACAAATATGAATTCACATCCCTTTGGGGTATAAATCTTGCACAAGATGCTACTGCTGAGCGGTTCATGCGTTTCAAAGTTGAATTTGAATGTGAATAAATGCATGCACGTATTTTTCAGTGTATGGTAATAGTGTATGATCACAGTGTACAAACAAACACTGTTGTATCGAAGATGACCTACGTAAATGCTTCGAGTTATCCGAGGTTCCCCACAACCGAAAAATGATAACAACAGAAGGAATGCGCAGGGACTATGAATTTGACTCGACACAACCGTAATTTCGACACAAGGGTGTTTAACTGAACATGCGCACGACCTTCTGCCTGACATTTGCTGAAGAACAATAGCCGATGCTTTGAGCATGAACCGATTACGTAGGATCGGGCAATGGCACTGACTGGCCGTCTGACGTATAGATGACAACCAGCAAAAGAGACCGCCTCCGTGGTGTAGTGGTTAGAGCGTCCGCCCGGAGAGCGGAAGGTCGCGGGTTCGATCCCCGACCGCGTCATACCAAAAGACGTTAAAATTTGGTACTTGTTGGTCACTGCCTGGCGCTCGGCATTAATGGGTACAACAAGGACTGGTCGGCTCGGAGTCAGTATAATGTGTCTGAGTGGGGTATTCATGCTTCACTGCGGCATGGTATCTCAGTGGGCTAGCACTATAAAACCAGCTTAAGTCTGGGCTAGTACAAGCAGCCGCACATACACAGACACACGCATGCACGTCGTCATATGAACGAAATATTCTCAAGCACGACGTTAAACTCAATTTCACCTCACCTCACCTCCAGCAAAAGAACTTGAAAAAGAAGACTGAAGGTGGTTTTCGTTTTTTCTAGATGTTTCTATCAAGACTGAAATCAGGCAGGGGTTGCAATAATCCATTTTTATATGGGTAAACCTCTGGAATAAATTACGTGTTAAAGTGATCAAGCACACAGCTCGACTACGCCTGTAGTTTGATTGTTTGTTGTTTAACGCCGCACTCAGCAATATTCCAGCTGTATGGCGGCGGTCTGTAAATAATAGAGTCTGGACCAGACATTCCAGTGATCAACACCATGAGCATCGATATACGCAATTATGATACGATGACATGTGTCAACCAAGTTCGAGCCTGACTCCCCGATCCCGTTAGTCGCCTCTTACGACAAGCATTGGTTACTAAAGACCAAGTCTAACCCGGATCTTCACGGGTAGTCATTCCTGTGGACGTGGCATAGAATGGTGACGTCATACTAGTCGACAGACTATCGACAAACGTCATTAAAGGAGACTTCAACATGCGTTGTTGATAGTCAAAGTATCAAGGACGGGGGCTACCGTAGTGGTTAAAGTATTCGCACGTCACAACAAATGCCCGGGTTAGATCCCACATTGCTATAATGTGTGAAGTCCAAGTCTGGTTGTTCCGGCGGGGTAGTGATGGAATACTCCTTAAAAACGGCGTAAAATTCCCCTCACTCACAACGTCTGTTTTATCATAACTTGTTAACAAAGTGCAGCGAGTAATACGACCAGGGCTCAGGAATGTACACTAGCCCCGGGTACTTTTGTCTGAGGACAGGATCGTTCCACAGATACACCACCCACATCACTATGAGTACAAAGGTCACGTTGAACGTGTGAATTAGGAACAAGCCGTTAACGTCAAGTCTCTCTCCTCGCCCAGCTTTGAATCCCCAGATCACCAGCATACAGCCCAGTGTTAAAATATAAACACTGAAGATTTGTCCCTCTGTTACCAAATACCTGAAATAAGATATCCACAATTACAATCTTTTTTTGTATGGGACAGTGAGTGAGTGAGTTAATATTTAACGTCACATCGGCAATAGCTCAGAGACTTGGGATTACATGTGTAAACAATAATTTGAAAAATCCATTTACTCGATAAAGTAAAACCTCGTTAATCCGGGCGATACCATTCGATTGATATGGTCCGATTTACCATGGTTGCTCAAAACAATCACTGATTTTCCTGTCTGTGGTTTGATTAATTGGTTCAATGCTATTTAGATTCATAGCTGTTGGTTAGTGTTCTAAATACACGATCGATCAACCAGAATCGGTCGATAAAACAAGCTAATCCACTGAAAGGCTGCTTGTAAGCAATATGCAATCGTTATTTGGTTCACAGAAATATATTAATCGATATCGATAATTTTTATCGATCATACAATCGATTTCATTTTAAAGAGGTATAACAGTCATAACATTATAAGCCAATGTATTGTACAAATTAATGAGCTATTGTGTCGGTTTATTTGCCACGAGCTGATGCGTGAACTTGCATATTTCAGTTACAGTCTGTTTCAAATATAACACATACACATTATACACATTATTGGGAACATCGTGACACTCAGCTGCGCAGGGATTTAATTTCCAATGCATTTTCATTATATTAACGCACATGAACTAACACGGAAAATTCGGATGAAAACATGTGACATGTGACAGCCTGCATCGTGTTTATTATTTTTAGGTCAATATATCTGAGGTCAGCTTGAGGTTGACCTTAGGAAACACGTGTTCTTCAATCTGCATAACTGCTCTCAATACTGGTATGTCCTATGTAAAACAGAATTCCGGTCTATTTACTCCAATGAATCGTTGTGTTCTTATTGTTATTTTATTATTATTTACATATTAAAATCAATTTGTACAGCAAAGAGGGTTCGGGTTGTTCTGACATAACCAGACTGGTTAAGCTTACATACGAGTATTATTAGCACAGCGCCCTGTGGGAAAAGACACGTTGAGTGTCAGAAGGGCTGTGTTTCAGGCAGTAAATCCAGGCACCCTCCAAATGTCAGGAAAGAGATTGGGAGGTACCACAACAAAGGCACCAAGAGCAGTGGGAGTCGGACAACAGGGAACTTGGGATGCATGCGTGACATTTTGGAAAGGAGGTCCGCAAGTTTTCTCCTGGATCTTGTCCATCTCAAATGGCCAAACGGACAGACTGATATAAATTCATTTTGAAAAAGAGACGAGATCAGGTCTGCTTGCTTACACATGACTGAGGTTGTATACGGGCCTGTTCCAAAACGGTTTTTATCTGTAATTCTAGTACCCCTATATATATTCTGGGTCGTATGATAGATCAACGTCTGAGTCATCATGTCACTTACAGTACTGCGGTCATATCAGCTAACACGCGGTGGAGTCTCATTACATTCATTAATATATAACAAAATTAGAAACGCACCACCCTAAATGCACCGACGATGCTCAGATATCATGGGTACATTTCAGTCTGACGGGGATATTTCGTATTATATGGGTGGTGCGTTTCTAATGCTGTTCAGTATATAATCTACATTTCACATTTTCATTTTGACGGTTACGAGCGTGACATGACTGGTCCCGAGAAACAAATGAAGCCTTCTGTTTCACTGTTCAGGCCAGCCGACTTCATCTATGCCAATGGCGGCAGTTTTTACTTACCAGTAGTATACGGAGCTTACAAACAGCAGCAACCACCATGACAACCCCAACTTTCGATCACTGGGGTTGTTTTTTCGGAAACAGCCAAGAAAGTAGAGGAAAAGCGTAATGAAAAACGGAATATACCTGAAATAAAATCATAGCGTTAACATAATAAAATCACACATAAACAAGTTAAGCCGAATATAATCCCAGTGTGGTAACATCACTGTTAGCATATTGAAATCATATTCAAGAAGCATGTCCACTTTCGTGTCTTATATATTAATCATTTATACAATAAATATAGTGTAAGCATCATGAAATAGCACAGCGTTCGCTCACATACTTAAATCGTTTTTCTTAGAAAAAAATAGAGTCGAAACTTTATAATGTAACAGAGTGAAAGGGAAATGAAATGTTCCTGTATAAGCAATGAAGCCATATTGTTCGAGCACGCCTGACGCCTAAATGTAATTTAGCACGGACATGGCAGAAACGGGTTATTGCCAACTCAGTGGAAGTCTTGCACCCTGCTTGTAGTGTTTGTTGCTTGACGCTGCTCTGGCAATATTCCAGCTATGTGACATGTACATCGGTCGGTAAGTAATCGAACCAGGATCAGACAATCCAGTGATTTACATCAAAGCAGTGTGCGAAATAGCCACTGGTCCGTTAGCCCGTGGCTAGTAAAAATCCAGTCGGGCCAGTAAACCTCCACAATCACTGGCCAGACTGGCTGGTGAAGTTTCATGTTGTCATTTTGTAAATATATCACTCTCTCTTGCTTGTTAAGTTATAATATACTAAAAGTCTTTTAAATCATGCAAGATTGTGGCCTGATAAAAATGTTCATCATATTAGCAGCTTAATGATGAAATCCGTGTATATAGTCAAATTTCGGGCTAGTGAGTTATTTTGTGGGCTAGTAACTTTCGGGCATAGCTAGCCCGACTGGCTAGCAAAATTTGGAAACTATTTACGCTCGCTGCATGATCAAAGGCATCGTTCTAAGAAACTGGGATACAATGACCTGCATTAACCAAGTCAACTTGCATTGATTTCGTATTGTGTTTAACTCCCATTCAGCAATATGACTTATAGGTCTGTTAATATACAAGTGTGAACCAAATAATCCAGTGATGGCATCGATCTATGCAATTGGGATACGATGACATGTGTCAACAAAGTCAGTGAGCCTGACCACCCGATCCCGTTAGTCGCCTCTTTCGACAAGCAATAGTTACTGAAGACCACCTTTTACCCGTGTCTTAACGGATTTGTGGTACTAAGTGACATCATCATTCCCTAAATGTAGAAACAATATCATTGTTTTTTTAAACGAATACAATATTAAAGAGAATCTTACCAGGCTGTTGCCAATTTGAAACACAAAGGCAGTACATCTATATTGTCCTCGATCGAGTTTATTCAATAGATGATATTCTTCCCAGTGTGCAATGAAAACTTTTATATTGCATGATAGTTATATGCGGTCGTACAAACTAAATGTGGGTTATTATTCTTACCACATCAGATGGCCTATTTCTTCATCGTACGTGTAGAGGAGTTCAAACAAGCTAACCTGTGTGAAAGAATAATAAATTAATGGAATATAGGTTTTACATTAGGCGTTATAAGAACGTTCATTACAATGAAGACTACTGCAACAAGGAACGTTAAAATATGTAACCCAAAGTGATTAGATAAGTGACTGTTTAGTTGTCGTTTGAGGCTGATAGCTTTCATATTACAGGTATACCACGATGAAATTTGGTCACACAAAACACCTGTTGATAGTAAAATAGTTTGCTAGTACGAGTAACAGTCGAGAACGAGGCTACAATCATCCAGGGTCGTAACTCTATAGTTTACCATAGGCTTAGGAATGTCGTAGCGCCACGAATGCTTTGTGGTGGATCGGGACCCTGATCAGACATTTATTCCACACGATACACATTCATGCATACTGAGTAACTATTGTGACCCGAAATGAAGGGGATACGGTTTTTACAACTAGAACGGGATGAACGTAAGGCGTTAATAGAAATTGGAAAATTACAATATTTAAAGAAATAGAACAATGTCATGCGTATGGTGAGTACGTGATTACACAAGTGGTATATTTAACAAAATATATTTTAACACACAACACAGATAACACACAATAATTTTCAAGAGAATGTGGGCAGGGTATGTTGACCATAAAAGGTAGGCTTAGCCCTTCTTACAAGTTTCTGTGGTTTGAGCTGTTGCATGATGGGATTGTCTCTGACCGATAGGTGGAGCTCATACCCAACGTGTGGAAGTCTGTGGTTGACGGAGTCTCCGACGAGATGGATGCTGGCCCCCATCACAAAGGTAATGACGGAGATGTAGGATACACTTGGGGAGAGTTTCTGGGGGCTCCGCTCCTGGAGCTGGGGATGAAAAAACATGTACCTTTTACAGGCACTCCAATACATCTTTTGTTTGTTTGTTTGTTTGTTTAACGCCGCACTCATCAATATGCCATCTATATGGCGGCGGTGTGTAAATAACCGAGTCTGGATCAGACAATCTAGTGATCAACAACATGAGCATCGATCTACGCAACTGAGATACATGTTTGTACGATGGCATGTGTCAACCAAGTCAGCGATCCTGACCACCCGATCCCGTTAGTCTCCTATTACGAAAAGCATGGGTTGCTAAAGACCAATTCTAACCCGGATCTTCACGGGTCATTCCAATACAATGTCAAGGTATGGTCTCTATGTTATACACTGAGGGAAATGTATTGGAGAACACATCCTTATATGTTTTCAACATTTTTTCGCAAGCTGTCTTTCACTGTGGGTGAAAATTCGTGAATTCACAAAGGAACACTAAGTTGAAGTGGTGTTCCGTTACTTGTTTCCGTCAGTATATTTATCTATTCTCTGTCAACTTTAACTTCAAGTCGTCAGTAGTGGTAATTTGTTAGCGGTTTGTGTCAATATTAAGCGTGAGCTGGTCTGTCACTCATGATTTCGAAAATAATAAACACAACATTGAATGATATTTTTTAATATAATTAATATAAGAGATTACAATCATAAGTCGGGATATACTAGTACGTGTAATAACCTGATTAAACAAACATTGCGATCACATGATACCCGCCCCTTTCATGTTGGCTCAGGGGTGATGAACTGCAAACAGACGTCGTCACGCGTGGTCGCGGTGGGAGTGGGACACAATACTGTGTATTTCCAATAAGGCGAGACTTTAACAAAACATCTGTCCTGTCCTATGTTGGTAATTGAAATTCACTGTTCGAATTTGGTGACCGTATGTCCGGATAATTGAAGCATTTAATGTAGTACAGGTTTCGTTTCACGATACTATCGTTCAGCAAGCGGGGGCGGTGGGGTAGCCTAGTGGTTAAAGCGTTGGCTCGTCACGCCGAAGACCCGGGTTCGGTTCCCCACATGGGCATAATGTGTGAAGCCCGGTCAGTCGTTCAGCAAGCGAGGTTTCCGGTTAAGCGGGGTGCCACTGTAAGTACCATATTACAGGGCATGACGGGTTAAGTGCGGCGCCATACAGATTTGTTCTCGTAGCAACGCACTATAACGCTATTTGGTCAAAAAAATATACGCCAAATCACCCTATACCCCTGTATCAAACAATGACATAGCTGGAATCCATGCAGCGTATGAAAGAAAGTGGTTAAGCTACTGCTTGTGCAATCACTGTCTGTATGTGGTTGCTCCATCAGTGGATCGTCTTGTTTCCTCCAGTCAGATGAATATAGTGAAGGGCCACTTCGAGAATGTACAGGTCCGCCACTGTGGAGTAGGCTGATACTAATTTAGTTATGTGCTCAGAATGAATGGTGTAATGGTATTTTTGGGTGTGTGCGAGGATGTCTGACAACTGTATATGTGGTCACACGGGCTTTGGGTCATTTGTTGGACCCACTGGAATGTCAAATTGAAAAATTGTGCAAATGTGATATTTTGAATATTTTGAACTACGTTCGGGACGGTGAGTTGGCATGGTTTTAAGACGTTTTCGCCACAATTCAGGAATATCACGGTCACCAAACACGGGCTTCACAAATAATGACCATTATGTGGTACTCAAACCCAACCCTCGACTTCACGACTGAACGCTTTAACCTTATCCACAGCCCCTGGTCACTGCCCACCCCCACAAACATTCAGTATGTTTTCATTTCTATTACGAGGACCTTCATTTGAAACATGACCACGTATGGAAGTATGGCAAGAATTAGTGACAAACTTCTACAGAACACGGAACAGATCTGTGACAAAAGATGTCACTATAGTACGTCTTTTCCTGCATAACGAAATACGTCAGATCAGGTCATAGAATAGACTAACGCTTAGTGCCTGAATATATGTAGGCTAACGCTTAGTGCCTGAATATATGTAGACTAACGCTAAGTCTCTGAATATATATAATTTGAATGTAACAAATAAATCCATTTAAACTGAAAAGGAGCCCCAGGGAGACCAGAGATTCTGACCTTAACCTGGGGAAATCTAGACTTGCTTCATTTAGGGCTTTGCACATTGCAGGGGTTGGCCTTGGCTGTAGGGAAAATAACACAGTTCAGGGACTGTGAGACAGTCTAGAATATATGTAATTTTGATAGTAAAAACAAATAGATGACATTAAGTTGAAAAGGAGCCCCAGGGACTGGCAGATAACTGTTCATATTCAAATAGAAAATGGTTTCCTGACAACCTCTAAAATACACCTCAGTTCATATTTCGGTCGCACCTGGCTATTGCCAACACGTCTCGGGAATGATTATATTTCATTTCTATAAATACGTTACATGAAAACGTTTTCCCAACTCACTTATTTTGTTTTGCTCTTTTAGTAAATGAGGTAGATTTTAATGTACAACATTTTAATCCTTGCACTTTTAGATAGACAATATTCGTCCATAGAGCCATTGTGGGCAATATTAATTATTTCTGAAACAGAAGTTCATATTTCTTTTGATTACAGTTACTGTATTAATTATTCGGACATGGTGTTTCTTGTACACAGATACCTTAGGATACTGTTACTGAAGTCATCATCATTTAGCCTTCTAAGTATCAATCGTAAGACATATAATTCTCATTGCTAACAGTGACAAACGGACAGATATCATCAATATCAAACAAAGGATTCTAAATAAATCAATTTCTAACATAGGCATGTCAAGATGTGTATACACACACACAGAGAGATCATTTATTATATATAATGCCGGCGAACATAGGCATACATAATGTAAATTTCGAACTCGAATTCGAGAATTGCGACATATTAAACCAATAAAGTTCTCGGTTTCGATGCCCCACATGGATACAATGGGTGCACAGGGACAGGTAACGATAAAAACTGCCATCAAGGTATATACTGTCACTGACGGAGTCTTAGTACTATATAAGAGGAGGTCATTTTATATAGTGATAAGACCCCGTTAGTGACACTACATACCTTGATGGCAGGTTTTAGCGTTACAAGCCCCTGTGAATGGGTGAAGCCCATTTCTGGTGTCCCTGTCGTGTTACTGCTGGAATATTGCTAAAATTGGCGTAAAACTTAACTCACTCACTCACTCACTCACTATACACGGGTCTAAACATACCTACTTACATTCAATTATATTGACAAAGGAAGAATATGTGCAGAATTAATATTCATTTTACCTTCAGTAAGCAGAATGGCGTGATGACGTTGTACGCCATGTGGAAGTAGTCGCCGATGCTGGGCCTATTCAGGGGAGACCACTCCAATGGAACATACCACTGAAAAGCAACAACAGTCATACTTATGGGGCTTGCTACACAACCTTGTTCCTACCATTAGTATAGCATTGCTGGCGTTGCCTACTTCTGCTGCATCTGTTCACACCATTGACAAATACCTTTGTACGTATCAACATTCTATTGCTGAGAAACTGATCTTCTGAAACACAATTTCATTCAAATTAAATCATTTATGCCCACGCGATACCATTTTCAAAATGACCATGTGAGACCACCTCCATGGAAGGAAATGTCTCATCAACGTCCAAACGTCTAAACCCTCGGTACATGCATATCTGATTTCTGTATCTCGAAAATAATTTTAACGACATTTCCCGAATGTGCGTAACGAAGTGAAGGAGACGCCATTATAATGTGGTCACACTTTATACACCCTGTCATATTTCAGTTCCTTCCATCTACACGCAGCAGGGATGCCATCGAGGCATATTTGTCCTGTGTCAGTTCCCTGTTAAAATATATATTTTCGAAAAGAGGTGGCACACAGAGAACGCTAATAAAAGCTGATGGGCCAAAGAGCCAACGTTTGTCATCAGATTTGGCGTTCAAAATTCAACTGAGGCCAAACTTGATTTCTGAAACCCCACATATAGCTTGATTTACGAAACTATATTTTTCAAACAATAACCATAAACTGATTTTTGTTTTGTTTGCTGAACCAAACTATTAAATGATTGCAGTCTAGACCAGTGATTGACATTATGAATACCGGGGAAGGATGATCCGGGTAAAGACTATCTCTGTTCAACCCGATCACCGAGTATCTACCATGACAATGGCCTCTTACGACAAGCATGGACTGATGGGGACCTTTTGCCTTACTCACAGATCTACTATGTTTGTTTCACACAGAGAGTGAAAGAACAGTTGGCATCTGTTTTTAAAGGTTTAACGATTGACTGCCACATGTCCATTGGTTTAACGACCACTCACGCCAGCAATCGGTCGCCCGAAGTCGAAGATCCAGTTTACGATCGCCAGAGTCAGCCATATGTCCAGGTGGAAGGTGTCACTGGGCGCCTGTCTCTCCCGGCGTCTGAAACCACATAAATATCCAGTTGACAAGTTTTGTACATATACCTAGAACAAAATGTAATAAATATTCATCTTATTCCATGTCTGGATGAAGGTTTTCAGGTATATGCAATCTGATACTGTGTAAGGTGCAATGTCAATGTTTTAGACGTTTAGTTATATCCCCATTTTAATATTTCAGTCAAGTGACGATATATGCGACAATGAATATCTCCATAATCATAAGCCAATGGACAACAGTTTGAGAAATAACAATAGCCATGCATTTTAATGATCTGTCAAGAAATGATTTATTGAATCTGTTCACAGATTAAGTGCATGAATACAGTTTACATGTATAAGTTCATAGTTCCATAGCAATTGCTCTTTATGGGCAGTTTCTATTATCCATTAAAACAACAAAGCATTACATCAGAAATATCGGAGCCACTTAATCTTAAACATTTTGAAAGAAGTAAATACATATGCCGAATTTCATTTGACTCAAAAATATTTTGAAGCTGATAGAATTTGAGAATAATGCATCACGCACGTCTATTGATTGCATGAGTTTAGTTTTACGCCGCGCTCAGCAATATTCCAGCTATATGGCGGCTCAGGCACCTCTAAGTAAGGCGACGAGGTAACATGCATTTATGTTGAAGAAGATATGATACACACACGACAGTGTGTATGTACAATATATTTTACGTGTGTTTAATGTACAATATATTTTACGTGTGTGTTCACATTTACTTCGATAAAAACATTTTAGATTTCTTTATGAATTCATATACGTGATGAAATATTTGCAGTTATTTTCCATCATATTTCTGTCTTCTTTGAGAGTAGTTTTTACAAAGGTAATTCCTTTTACAAAGATATTTCTACACATCATGCCCAGAATGTTCACTCCACAGTAACATCAGTAGCAATATGACGAACATATCTGCATCTCTCGCTGTGCAACATCCACAAGGTGTGACAGTGAAGTATAATTATGGATCGATGTGCTTTGCTCTGCGGTCACTCACGTTGAGCGCGTCAGCAGAAAATGTAATTATCTAATTTCCACTTGAGAGAATACCTGTATAACCGTAAATAATTGATAACTGTACACCTGTACAATGTTTACTGTTATACGTACCGTTAGCGCAGCAGGTATAAGTTAATAATGCCTGTACAACGACAGGCCGAATAACGCTTAGTCTCTGAATATGCATTGTATAAAATATCGATCGAAACAATAAACTCCATTTCCTGTACCTGTGGTAAATCTAGACTTGCTTCATGTACAGCTATATCATCACAGTGAGTCAGCGCTGACGGGTAAATGATATGGTTCGAGATATGTGTGACAGACTAATTGACAGCTTGAAATGTCCATTGGACACTCTACTCTAGACTTGCACAAATCTCTAGAGTAATAATTAATAGTTTGAATCATAATTTCTACAAATGAAATATCCCTCTAACAGACTGGCGTGCTTGCAGAAGTCTCTAAGGTAATAATTAATAGTTTAAATGATAATTTCTAAAAAAATATAAATAACCCCCCTAACAGACCGGTGTACTGTCCCCTTATCTAGACTTGCCTCTTCAAAGGATAGAATTACTACACATCCATGTGCTTAGCCTTCAGTACAGCCTTGGAGCAAGGCTAACGCTACACATTAGTAACCATCAGCGGGGACAGAACAGAACATTTATTACTTTTAGGCCACTATCCGTGACGATTAGTAATGACACGGACAAGAACACTCTCCTATTCAGTAAACATCAGCCTGGACGAACAGTAACAACACGACATCGACCCGCCATTACATTAAATGCACTTTTAAGTATAACTACCTTTGGCCTTGTTTGTCAACAGAATCCTTTTCATCTCTGTTTGATGTTGCGGTGATTCTATTTCTAACAGTACTCTTTTTCGTCATGGCGGCTGTATTGATTTGTCACGCGCACTACGCTGAGTCACGCGGGGGAGGAGATTACACTTCTCCTTCACACAGCTATCAGAGATAAATAGTAGTTCATTCGGTCAGGTCACACAGAGTTCAAGGTCAACTTAAACCGCCAACAGTGACACACCCAACCAGGCGTTGTTTATGGCGGGAAGGTAGACTAACATCTAGTCACTGAAATGAATATATTTGACTGAAACAGTTGATAAATAATAATTATAAAATGTAAATTATTAAAAGGAGCCCTGAAACTTTCATTTTCAGAAAGCTGTGGAAATCTAGACTTAAGCTTGCCACATATTCTAGACTTGCATGGGCTATATTTGTTTGAAACAATTTCTGTCCCCGACATAAATTTAATTAATAATATCTATATTGGCAATGTATATGAGCGAATTTGATATTTTGAAGTTCTTTCGGCATGTATAGATTTTTGAATGCAGTAATGTATCTCAAAGACGAATAGTCGCCAACAGTGAAGCAGGGATGCAATAAGCATAGCGGGACTTTTACGAGAGCATCTGTTAACCTATACGAAATACCACCAATATCCTTCTTCAACATATCGTAGAGTGATTAAGATGGGGTCAACGTACTTTAACTCTATTATGGTGTGTTAAACCGTTACGACATAATGGCAATTCTTATACCTTAGAAACGTAAGTAAAAGTGACGAGTGAATTATTCGTTTGATCAGACTCGGTGACTTTGATCCCAACTGCGTGGATCAATACTTATGATGTTAATCACTGAACAAGAAATTTCCCAAGTTACCAAGTTATTAACTCGTTGATTGGATTAGTGAGTAATAGTCCGCTTATATGGCACTCATATTCAGGCACATTGCCTGCTCACGGCGCTACGTACATTACTATCCTCGGTCATAGAACACTGTCGTACTTCAACTCCCTGGGGATAATACAGCCATGCTGCCTGTTAGGCGCAATGAACTAAACTCTCACATTGCCAGCACTTCCTCACGGGTACCCATTTTACAGCTGGGTGAACTGCGACAAATGTGCCCACCTCGGACCCGAACCTAGGTGACTCCACCTGGGATCGAACTCGGGCCTTCAGCTTGATAGGCAGACGCCTTACCACTGCACTATTGCGCTCCATAGTGTTTTAGTGGGGCCGGGTTAATTGCGGGCCGTCATTGTAAGGTTGGGGTGTTTTGAATGATGAAACACTTGCTGCTTTAAAGTAAATTGGCATTAATTTGTAAAATGAAATTACGCTGGAAGATGAAATCACCTAGTTCATATAATAATTTTGATAAACATCTTTCGTCACCTTAAAAGTAAAAACAGTTAACACCAAACTAAGAAATAATGCAATCAACACATTTAAGTGAATGAAATACAAATGTAATTGTCATTTTTATTTTATTTTATGGATATATATATTTTTTTTAAATGCGATCAAACACGAAATCCAATCGTGATAGCATTCTGATTATGAATGTCGATGTCTTACAGTATGAAAAATAATTATTGTGTTTATACTTATATATGTCATATATATCAATATCATTACTGTAAATATTGCAGAAAGACATCCATGTACGTGTTCATACTTCTAACTTCATGTTCATACTTCATACCCTAAACATTTTGGACGTGACGTTATTACAACCGGAGTGATTTTGTTTATTTAATTTTACTTCCTTAAAATGTCAAACATTGACTTACGTAGTAGATGTGACACCCATTAAACATTATTCCTGGTACCATTTCTCGCTAGTAAAATAAACCCGCCCCCCGATCATGTTACCTATTTGACACCTATCTGGACACATTAATTTTCTATAACAATTATTGTCTGAAAGATGCAATAAAGTCAGAACAGGTAAATTGTATTTATGTCATGTTGGAATATGGGGATAAGCCATCAAATCAATCATATTGTTTAAATATTTGTCATCATTAATCCTACACAAATATAGTTTCAACTAAACACGCCACACAAGCACATAAACCACAAAGTTAACGGTACTTATTATAACGGCAGTTTTGATATGTGATGTTTCCGGATTTAACCAACTTAACACCCCCCTGGGATTTATTGTGGTCTGACGGTTACAAGAATTTCGACGGTTACGAAGGGGTCCGGTCAAAAGCGCTAGGGTAGGGGATTATGTTGACGTGTGGGTTGTTCCTTGACAGCCCCCTGGGGAATACACCTACATAAGGACCCCGAATGGTAGAACAGGTCAGTACTGTTATCGCCTACCGGAGCGTTAACCCACACGGAAACAAGAAAGATAACTCTTGACAGCTTCCTAGTAACGAGACAAGGTTTTGTTGTGAATTTCCCAGCCACAATGATGTATAAGCTTATATGCATCATCGTCTTCTCTGCCGCCTCCAATGCTATCTACTACGACGATGCTCAAGACGACGTCAGAGATCCCAATGCTACGTTTATCCTCTACGACATCACTGCACATAAAGGCGTCGGAGTGGACCTCAAATCTGCGTTTAATCAACTGAAAAATGTGGAATATGCTTTTAAGGTAATGTAGCCTTAATATAATTATAAGTAATGTATAAATGATAATTATAATTCTTTTTTAAACTTTCCGGCGTCCAAATACTTAATTATGAAACTATATCACAAACATACAAAACTATTAATCTTTACATTTGTATCGATTTTTTTTTTCTGTCTAAAAGGGGAAACGAACGATTTAATTTTTTTATTAAGACGCATCTATCGTGCCAACTGTGTAATTCATCTCTGACTGCAATGCCTGTGACAACGTATTTTTCCAATATGTCTATAAATGTTTGTTGTTTTTACTGACTCATACTTGGTCAAACATTACATTCTTTGTTTCTGCCAGGTTCTAGGAGAAGACAGAGCTTTTTTCGGTAAGTTAAATACAAATTTATCGTATTCCTAAGATGTTTATAACATTTAAATTCCATGTTTAACATTTGTAAACAGCTGCAACCTCCGTACTCACATCCTCGTCAGATATTTGATTTGGTTTGGTAGTTGTTTAAGCTGCCCTGAGCAATATACCAGCTATGTGACCGCGGTCTGTAAATAATCGGGTCTGGACCAGACAATCCCGTGATTGACACCATGGGCATCGATCTACGCAATTTGGATACGATTTCATGTGTCAACCAAGTCTGACCACCCGATCCCGTTAGTCGCCTCTTACGACAAGCATGGGTTGCTGAAGACCTATTCTACCCCGGATGTTCACAGCTGTCAGATAGTTGATGTATTGCCGACTATACATGCAACATGAAGAAAATTACGTTGCTCATCAGAATTGTAATGAAAGAGCTCTTACAATACGTTACGTATGTCGTAATTCCGTGTTTCATTTCTACTAAACGACCGAACACCATTACGCTGTTCCATTAATAAGGTAATATTTTATACGTATAGTACATCAGCCTCGAGACGTACTTTTATAGACCAACGGATTACATCCTATTGTGCACATAATTGATGACTGTACAAATAGTCCGTTCTTTAATTCAAGCTGATATAAGGTATTCAATTAATCGAGATGTCTAGACTGAGCGTAATTACTACCTTCGCGGGGTAGCGTCCTTCTCTGGATCTGATGAGGTGAACCATGTCCTTTAGAAAGATGATTGTGCATATAAGGTACTTTGGTACATTGGGTCTGTTGTTCCTTCATGGGAAGTAGGGTAGCCGAGTAGTTTCACGTCCGCTGGTCACGCTAAAGGTTCAGGTTTGATTCCGCTCATCGGCACAATGTCTAAACCACATTTGTGGTGTGCCCAGCCGTTATAGTGCTGGAAGTTTGCTAAATCCGGTGTTAAACGCAACTCACTCACCATAGGTCTTGTAACGTAGTATCGTATATATACATGAAGGAAATTTATCATAACATAATCATTTGGGACAGTAACTGTGAGGTTCATATCTGTCATATTGTCGTTTTAAGAAGGAGAGCGGAAGGTCGCGGGTTCGATCCTGACCACGTCATACCAAAAGACGTTAGAATTTGGTACTTGTTGGTCCCTGCCTGGCGCTCGGCATTAATGGGTACATCAAGGACTGGTGGGCTCGGAGTCAGTATAATGTGTCTGAGTGGGGTATTCATGCCTCACTGCGGCATGGTATCTCAGTGGGCTAGCACTATAAAACCAGCTTCAGTCTGGGCTAATACTAGCAGCCGCACATACATATACACACGCATGCACGTCGTCATATGAGCGAAAGCACGACGTTAAACCCAATTTCACCTCACCTCGCCTCGTTTTAAGAAACACCACAACTTAAGGTTTTCTGGAACTTGGTAATATACTTAAAGTTCAAAATTTCAATTTTGAATTTTCACCAAACATTTGTTCGGTGATTGTGAAATTGATGGTTATATTGATTTCCCATTTCTGGACAGAGACAGACTTGTCCTTTAAGGCACCAACATTCTGTGCGGAGTACATTTTCGATTTTAACCGACCATCGGCGGATTCTGACACGACAAGGTACGCAACTGTGCATTGCGAATTCCTTGTTCGGAAAAATGTACTGTTAACACATACGTCTGTCATATCCTATCAAAAACCCATCCAACATAAGTTCATCAAATAAACGTAAAACTCACAAGGCTCGATTATCCTCGGAAACATACATCTTATTCAAATTCAATGTTTATTTTATGAAAGGTCAGGTCATGGGCCCATATACATGAAGTGAAAATGGCACAGTGTAGGATTACTCTACAGTTTATACTCCTGAAGGTGCGATGGGTGTAGTTAATGATTGAAGCATTCGCTCGTCACGCCGAAGACCCGGGTTCGATTTCCCAAATGGTACAATGTGTGAAGCCCATTTCTGATGTTCCCTCGCCGTGATATTGCTGGAATATTGCTAAAAGCGGCGTAAAACTAAACTTACTCACTCACTCATACTCCTGACAATGTTCTGTTCCTTCCTTTCAGTGGTTCCCGATGATAACAGATGTGAAACTTTCACCGCTGATTTTTCGGGATTCAAAGTGGATGCCCAGCCAGTCAGAGGACTGAACACCAGTGATGTCCCAGTTTCCTTCAACGACA